GGAGCTCAGGCCAGCCCAGGGTCCCGGCCCAGCCCCCAAGCCTCTGAGACAGCCCCTCCTCCCCCTTCCTTGCCCACCACCCTCCCCTTGTGACTTCATGTCACCAAACCTACTATCTAGTTTTCATGAGAAAGCCAGGGGGGACACAGAGCAGGTGATAGCACCCAGCCCAGAAAGCGGCCTCTAGGTGTCACTCTTGGGGTCCTCTAGAGAGGAGAGGAAGGTCGCCACCCAAACCAAGGCTGTTGCCATCCCCTTGTACCCAACAAAGAGAAGTGGCCTGAGCCAGCTGGAGCCTGTGGTCAGCCCTTGCATGTGGTTATGCAAGGTAGAAGAAGCCCTTCTGTTCCCTTAAGGTGCTGGCCCGTCCCCCGTGGAATTCCCTGCTCTTTCCTCCTGCGCTGATCAGCAGTAAACGCTGGACTCACTGCCAGGCACCGTGCCGGGCATGCCCAGATGTGCTAGACCTGGCCCCGGCCCCCCAGGAGCTCGCAGTCTGGTGGAGGAGCAGGCTTGTGGGCTGAAAGAAGCAGGCCTCCCAGGGCTCTAGTGGCAGGGGAGCCGAATGGGCAGTGCGGAGCTGTGAGTAGGAGGGGTGTGTCATCGGCTGTGAGCAGGCAGCTGCTTACCAGGTAGAGAGGGAGGCCAGAATCCGGGGCAGAAGGTGTGCCAGGTGCGGCAGCACAGCAGTAAGCCGGGCACAGCCAGATTGGGGCACAGAGAATAGGTTGGCTTGGTTAGAACCAAGGCTTTGTGTCACAGCACGGGAGGTTGTTAGTGCCACACCACAGGAGCCATGTCTGCCGGGGTGGAGGAGGCAGACTGTCTCTGATTCAGTGGTCTCAAAGTATGGTCCAGGGGGTGCCCTGACCCATTTCAGGGATTTAATAAAGTCAAAACTATTTTCAGAGCTACCCTGGTTCCTGCCTTTTCTTTGCTGTGCTAATGACACAAAAGCAGTGATGGGTGAAAGTGCTGGCCCCTCAGCGCACATCTAGGCAGGGGCGCCAACATCAGAGTCCTTACTGCATACGTACATTTCTTTAAAAGTAGTGAAGATCATTAATGTTATAAAGTCTAGACCCTTGCGTACCTATACCTTCTGATATTTTGCATGAAGGAATATGAAATATACATAAGGCACCTTTGCTGCAAACCAAACTGTGATGAGGAAAAGCTCTTACTCGGTGGAGTTGTAAGCTGTACTAAGTGCTTCTTTTAAGAACACCATTTGGGCCGGGCGCGGTGGATCAAGCCTGTAATCCCAGTACTTTGGGAGGCCGAGACGGGCAGATCACGAGGTCAGGAGATCGAGACCATCCTGGCTAACACGGTTGGAACCGTCGCTCCTCTAAAATTTAAAAACTAGCGGGGCGAGGGGTGGGCGGGCTGGCTGTAGTCCGCTACTCGGGAGCTGGAGGCAGGGAATGGCTGACCGGGAGGGGGCTTGAATGTGAGGTGAGAATCCGGCCATGGCCATTAGACTGGTGCGACAGAGCGAGACTTCCGTTAATAAAAGAAAAAAAAAAACCAACACCATTTGGGCCGGGCGCGGTGGCTCAAGCCTGTAATCCCAGCACTTTGGGAGGCCAAGGCAGGCGGATCACGAGGTCAGGAGATCGAGACCATCCTGGCTAACACGGTGAAACCCTGTCTCTACTTAAAAAAAATACAAAAAATTAGCCGGGCGTGGTGGCGGGCGCCTGTAGTCCCAGCTACCCGGGAGGCTGAGGCAGGAGGATGGAGTGAACCCAGGAGGCGGAACTTGCAGTGAGCCAAGATAGTGCCACTGCACTCCAGCCTGGGCGACAGAGGGAGACTCCGCCAAAAAAAAACAAAACACACCGTTTGTACTTGGACACCTGATAGACAAACTAGTCAGATACAGGTATTTGGCAGACATTTTCTCAAAAGTGAATGACATGAGTTTGTCACTTCCAAAACGGTATCACTATTTGTTGCCAGGCATGGGCCACCATGGCTCATATCTGTAATCCTATCACTTTGGGAGGCCGAGGCGGGAGGATCACTTGAGCCCAGGGGTTCAAGACCAGCTTGGGCAACACAGTGAGACCTCATCTCTATATTTATTTTTTAAAAATAAATTAATAAAATATTTGTTGCCAATGATAGAATTTGAGCTTTTGAGCAAAAATGAGAATTTTAGAAACCTTTTTATTCACTTCCTAGAGCCTGACAGCTTCCTTGGACTTAAAATTTTTCTGATGAGATCAGTAGTAAAGTTGGTGTGATTTTTGGTATTATATAATAACATTTGGGCCAGGGGTGGAGGCTCACACCTGTAATCCCAGCACTTTGGGAGGCTGAGGCAGGCAGATCACCTGAGGTCAGGAATTTGAGAGCAGCCTGGCCAACATGGTGAAACCCCGTCTCTACTAAAAATACAAAAATTAGCTGGATGTGATGGCACACACCTGTAATCCCAGCAGTTCGGGAGACTGAGGCAGGAGAATTGCTTGAACCTGGTAGGAGGTTGCAGTGAGCTGAGATCGCAACACTGCACTCCAGCCTGGGCGACAGAGCAAGACTCTGTCTCAAAAAAATAATAATGAAATAAAATAAGGCCAGGCGCGGTGGTTCACGCCTGTAATCCCAGCACTTTAGGAGGCCAAGGCGGGCAGATCACAAGATCAGAAGTTCGAGGTCAGCCTGGACAACATGGTGAAACCCCGTTTATACTAAAAATAAAAATAAAAAAAATTAGCCGAGTGTGGTGGCCCATGCCTGTAATCCCAGCTACTCGGGAGGCTAAGACAGGAGAATCAATTGAGCCTGGGAGACTGAGGTTGCAGTGAGCTGAGATTGCGCCATTGCACTCCAGCCTGGGCAACAAGAGCCAGACTCCATCTCAAAAAATAAAAATAAAAATAAAAAATAAAATAAAATGTGTCACCATTTGGAAGATCTGCATAACTCAGTAAATCGGTAACTTCAAATTTTGTAACATCAAGCACCAGTGACCAGTGCTTGATGTTACAAAATTCAAAATGCAAGGTAGTCCAGTGAAAAGTTCATTGACATGGTTTTTTATTTATTTATTTATTTATTTATTTTGAGACAGAGTCTCACTCTGTGGCCCAGGCTGGAGTGCAATGGCGTGATCTCGGCTCACTGTAGCCACCGCCTCCCAGGTTCATACGATTCTCCTGCCTCAGCCTCCCAAGTTGCTGGGATTACAGGCACCTGCCACCATGCCCAGCTAATTTTTTTTTTTTTCTTTTTTTGTATTTTTAGTAGAGACGGGGTTTCGCCATGTTGGCCAGACTGGTCTCAAACTCCTGACCTCAGTCGATCTGCCTGCCTTGGCCTCCCAAAGTGCTGGGATTACAGGCATGAACCACTGTGCCTGGCCTGATTCGGTTTTAGAGTCCACATTGCTACTAACCTTTGAGAAACTATCATTTGTCATATTTTGGTGTAGTAGCAAAGAAAATCTATAATTACCTGGAAAGGCTGTTAAAGATATTCCTTCTTTTTGTAACTACATGTCTGTGTGAGGCAGAATTTTCTTCATATACTTCAACCAAAACAACATGTCACAACAGATTGAATGCAGGGATAGACACGAGAATCCAGCTGCCTTCTATTAGGCCAGACATTAAAGAGATTTGCAAAAAATGTAAAATGATGCCACTCTTTTTGCTAACTTTTTTTTAGAAAATTATTTATAAAAGTGTTGTTTATATTAACATGTAATGGACTTATTGTTTTTAAGCTAATAAATATCTTAAGCATTTCTCAGTTTTAATATCTGATATGATACATATTAATAGCTGTCACCCCCTAAAACAAAACTCTTTTGGGATCTTCACCAATTTTGAGAGTGTAAAGGGGTCTGGGAGCTTTCAAGTAGCTGAACACATGGAGGTTCCTGGTGGATGGTGTGCCCAGGGAGGGTGTGGAAGCACCTTGCCCCTTCCCTCATTTAAAAAAAAAAAAAAAGGGCCGAGTGCGGTGGCTCACGCCTGTAATTCCAGCACTTTGGGAGGCCAAGGCGGGCAGATCACGAAGTCAGGAATTCGAGACCTGTCTGGCCAACATGGTGAAACCCCATCTCTACTTAAAATACAAAAATTAGCTGGGCATGGTGGCAGGTGCCTGTAATCCCAGCTACTCAGGAAGCTGGGGCAGGAGAATCGTCTGAACCTGGGAGGCAGAGGTTGCAGTGAGCCGAGATCACGCCATTGCACTGCAGCCTGGGTGAGAGGGCAAGACTCCATCTCAAAGGGAAAAAAAAAGAGTTTAAAGAGGTCTTCGGATCAGGCAGTTGGACAGCTGCCACTCCCCAGACCCTAGGGCGCCATGGCAGGACTGGGAGCTGGGAGGGTGGCATTCCGGTCAGGATACACATAACATGGACTGGTCTCTTCTGGGCATTCTTTAGCTTGGCAGAGCCAGAAGACGAGAAGCTGGAGTCCCAGCTCAACCAGTTCTGAGTCGTGGGCAGTCACAGGCTTCCACAAGCCTCGAGTGCCCCATCTATTCAGTGGGACAGTAATGCCGTCCGCACCGGGGAAAAACCCAGCCTCCCGTCTGTAATGCTGGTGAAAAAGTACTTTGTAAGTTGTGAAACACGCCACAGATACTTACTTTTGTGGTTGTTTTGTCTGGAGCCAGCGTGATTAGCTTCCCCAGACCTCAGAAAACCTGTCCAGTGGGCGTGAGAAGGCATTAGGTGGCTAAATAGGCGGCATTAGTGGGGGGCCCCCTCCCTAAAAGGGCCTGGCTTCCACTTCTCCCTCCCACTTCTCCCTCCTTAGACCTCGTTCCCGAGCTGGGGCGTGGGCTGGGCTGTACTGGGCGCCAGGTGGAAGGCAGGCCACTGGGCTGTCACCCAGCCTGACTCTGGGGACCTTGGGAAAAGGAGCTGGGAGGCATGCTCGTGCGCAGTGTGCCCGCCCGCCCACCCGCCGCCTGCTGCAGGGCCTGGAGCTGCCGCTGGGAGAGGAAGTGCGTTCGGTTACCAATCGGGTTATTTTCATAACGGCTGTCTCAGGCAGCGGGGAGGAGGGTGACAAGGGGGAGGGGGCAGAGGAGCAGCCACGGCCGCTCGCTCTCCAAACTAGGACTTGCTCAGCAGAGGCCGCCAGCCCGGAGCTGGAGCCAGAGCCCGGCATTGGGGACCCCAGCTCCCTTCTGCTTGCCCCGCTCCCGCCTGCGCCCTGCCTTCCAGATCAGGTCAAAAGGGGCCCCCAGCCCCTCCTTGCCTTCTGCTTCCTCCCTCTGTATCTGGCTGGGTGGGTGTGGGGAGGGTTGGATCCGGGTGGACCCAGGCCCCACCATCCCTAGGCGAGGGGCCTGCCCTGCCCGGTTCCTGAGCTGATGGAAAAGGGTCCCGCCAAGCTCTTGCTGAGCCAGGGCAGAGCCTGCCGAGTAAACACTCACTGGCCTGGTCGCCTTCTTACCGTCCAGCCTGGCCCACCTGCTCCCCGAGGTACATTCTGTTTGTTGTTTTTGACAGGATCCCTGTGGTGAGTCGCAGCCTGGGAAGGGAGGACCCTGCCTCCCAAGCCTCTAGGCTGACTGGGGAGGGGCCGGCCTCCCTTCCCGCTTCCCCACCTCCTTCCCTCCGATCCAGGGACTGTGGGAGCAGAGCCGAGGGGGTTCTGGGGAGGCAGCTGCAGGCCCTTGCTCTGGGGCTGCTGGAGGTGGGGTCGCCATGCACCATGCCCAGCCTTCACAGAGCGGAAGGCGGACGAGGCCCTGCCCAGGGTGTGGAGTGGGCGCTCTGGGTCAGTCCCATGGGGTATCCTGTGAGAGCAACTCAGGAGGCCAGGCCTGGTACCAGGTGCAGAGAGTGCATTCCTCACGACACGAGCAGATACCCAGGTGGTACCTGCGGCCGGCTCTGTTCCTCATGCGGTGGGTGGTGGCCACCCTGGGCACTGCTGCTTCCCTTTCTGGGTTCCCGGCCTCACTGTGGGCAGACAAACCCCAGGAGGTAGCACAATCACATGCTCTGGTGTCTGTGGTGGGTGTAGGCCCTGCCAGGCCCCTACTGTCTGCCAGGTATCGCCAGGCACTCTCCCTCCGTCATCACATCCAGACCTCCTTTATGCCAATCTTCTGAACCAGATGGTGTGAGCTCCATTTTGCAGATGAGAAAATTGAGGCTCAGAAAGGTTAGTGGATCAGCCTTAGGGTGGCAATGGCAGATTCAGGATGCCAGCGCCCTTGAAACTAGCATAAGGCGTGAGATGGCCTGGTCTCTGGAGGGTGGGTGTCCTGTCTGCTGTAGCAGTAGCCGATGAAGCTCTCCGGCCTGCCCGCCCCCATGGCAGCCACTGCAGCTCGGCTGCCCACAGCTGCAGCCACTGTCCAGCAAGGGTGCACGGCCAGACACCACTGGTCTTGCCTCCTGACTTCCTCTGTCCTTTCCCAGGCCCTGTCCTTGTCAGGCCCCAGAGCCGGAGGTTGATGGGGTCCCCTGAGTCCTTTCCCATCCTGTCCCCGTTGGTGTGACAGGCTCTCCACCCGGAGACCGAGGGACAGCCATTTTGCTGTGCTCTTGGTGTTGAAGCCCTCGGGGTGACCTTTGCACATACTATGTGGTGAGTTGGGGGTGACCAAGAGCACGAGGTGAGAAGACACTGTCACGCAGAGCTGTGCTATCGGAGAGGCTCAGGCCCAGGGCGGGTTCCAGCAAGGCCCAGGAGAAACCCCAGCCGAGATAGGAAGTGAGGAGTCAGGCTCTTGCTGACCAGGGACAGAGGTTTCTATGGAGACCAGAGGAACAGGAAGCACAGGCCTGCAGGGAGGGGCATGGGAGCACGGAGGCATGGGTGCCCAGCAGGAGAGCCTGTGGCAAAATAGCTCAGCCACTCTGACAGTCTCCCCAGACAGACAGGGAAACTGAGGCCCGTGAGGGGCCAACTTGCACACAGTCACATAGCACTACCGGCCCTGCCCACCCCACTCTGCTGGGAGGGACGGCACCATCGGCCACTGAGGAGACTCCTGGACAGATGTGGACCTGGGTTGCCTGGCAGTGTGTGGAGCCGGGCACCACAGGACCACATGCCAGCTGCCCTTGTCTCTCGAGGGGGTCCTGGTCCCTGTTGTCAGCGCAGGTCTGGGGCCGCAGGCTGGGCCCAGCCCTCACCGCCGCCCACGGTTGCAGCGGCACCTCCCCCCACTGACTGTGGCCTTTTGTTTTCTGGGTGACACTAGCATCAGGCGGTGTGTCCGGGTGACTAATCTCCTCCAGGCTGGGCAGCTGTCACAGGGCGGCCTGACCAGGCAGGCGGGGAAAGCTGACACCCTGGGGAGGGCTGGCAGGCCAGTGCCCTGACGGCAGGGGGCAGTTGGGCCTTCAGGCTCCTCTTCCCTGACACAAAATAGGTCCCAGGTCGGGAAGACCTGGGTTCAGGTCCCGACTCTGCCGCTGACTGGCCATGGGACCGTGGCATGTTATTGGCCCTCTTGAAGCCTCAGTTTCTCCATGTCTAGAATGGAGCTGTGGGTCCTGCCTACCTCGCAGGGCTGTGGTGAGGATCACATGAGATGATAAAGTACTTAGCCCAGGGCCTGTCACATAGCAGGCGTTCGTTATTATTCCCTACCTGGTTCCCTTTCCTACCCCATCCCAGCCTCATGTTCCAGGAGGAAGGACCCTGCAACCCACCCTATTTCTGGGGCGCAGGCTTTGCCATTAGGTAGACTTGGGCTCCAGCACTGGCTCCACACTGACTGGCCGGGGACCCTAGGCAGGCCACCTCTGCGTCAACTTCCTCATCAGGAACAGTGTGATGCAGTACCTGTTCATTGGGGTTACGGTTGATGAAATGATCTCAGTGTTTGCCAGGGGCTTAGCACAGTGCCTGACACATAGGGGCTCAGTAAATGTCAGCCGTGACACTGGTGATTTTGGGAGAGGCCCAGCACTCTCTGCCCATGCCTGCCGTCCTGCCCCTGCAGCTCCCTCCTGCCCAGGCGGTCTGCTCTGAATGGGGCACATTTGGGGTCATAAGAGCACTGCCCTGACCTCCCTGTCATCTGAGGCAGCTGCAGACTCCAATAGGCAGAGACCAAGAGCTGAGCCGTGCAGAACTCTGCTTCCCTAGGCACCTCCACCGTGTCCGTCTCTTCCCTCAACACCCCTGCACCTGGCCTGAAGCTGCTCAAGACCTGCAGGGCAGTAGCAAATCAGAGTGCGGTGAATGGAAGGAGAAGGTGCTAGACGTGGGCCTGGGCCTGACTCCTCCAGCCCATCATCTCTGCCTTCATCCTCCCTCCTGTCCATGGTGCTTCCAGGGCATCACCCACCATGCCTAACTAATGCCAGCCTTCAGGGGACCACAGGGCTTCTGTCAGCCCCAGGCAGCACTGCCCCAGGGCTGTGACCTTGACCTCTGTGGCTGCCCGGGGCTAGGATGCATCCCCCACCAGTCTCTCCCCAGGACCAGGACAAGGACCAGGGCCCAGGAGATCGCCTGCTGTGGGGCACAGGTAGCCTCAGGTACCTGGCGGCATTGCCACCCTGATCCATGCCAGGCAGGTTGCCCTTCCCCTAATGTTAGGAGAGGTGAGGGCACAGGAGCTCGATGCTGGCTGTGAAGAAGGGTAGGCAGGGCGGAGGTGAGCTGGCAGAGGGAGCAGAGCATGAGTTCAGGATGGGTCCGGGGAGACCAGGTCCAGGTGGGAGCTAGGATGATGCCCACAGCTCCTGCCTCCCTGCAGCATTTGAAATTGTGAGTATCCGAGCATCCAGCATCAGGGCCGCAGAAGAATGTCCAGTCACAGGCTCCCTCAGCAGCAGAGTCAGAATGGTTTCCCAGCTTCACCCTGGGGTATCCATTCTTGTCCCTTCAGAAAGGTGAGACAGAGCAGGTGAGCACCAGAAAGTTCTTACCATCAGTGTCTCAGACGTACAGGCACGCACACACCCAGAATCCAGAAGGCTTTGCTTTTGGCCCAAGCCTATTGTCACGGTCCCCTGGGTAAAGGAAGACTGAGCAGCCCCTCCCCGGGGTGAGCCAGACAGCGACTCTGCAGTTCCCTGAGACCTAGTCTCCCCTGAGCTACACATTAGGCCCTCTCCATTTCCAGGAGTCACCTTCAGCCTGACCCCAAGGCTGGGGGCCAAGAGACTCTGGGGGTCCTGTCAAGACTGAGTTCCTTTGCAGAGAGCCTCGTTTTGTTATAGCTTGGTTTGTGCCATGTCCCGGGGGAGACACCTAACCTGCTCCCCCATGTTGGTGGCAAAACAAAGACCCCGCGAGTAGGAAGCCCTGCCCTAGGCCCCACCGTCCATCCAGACAGACCGACTCCCCATTTTCTTTTTGTTTTCTTTTCCATCAGCTTCCGGTGGGGCAGGTGGAGGCCTTTAGGCCCAGGGCTCTGTGGATTCTGGCGCCTGGATGGGGGAAGAAGGGGTAGCCTGAAGCACCCACCTACCTACGACTCCAGGGCTCCCTAGGGTGCAACGGGGGAGAGCATCAGTGCCCCAACAGCTCTAAACTTGGGCTCCCCTGAGCACCCTTAGGACCCTCACATGGAGGTCCGAGGCTGCAGTGACCCCTCCCTCCCTCGGGGCTTGCTTCCCTCCTCATGGGGCAGAGGCTGTGAATGGGCTCCCAGACGCAGGACAGACCATGGCCTGGTCCAGCTCCTGATGTCCCCGGTCTCTGTGCCCAACAGCCACCCGCCTGCCATGGAGACTTTCTTTAGGAGACATTTCCAGTGGAAGGTGCCAGGCCCTGGAGAGGGGCAGCGGCGGCCCAGCGGTGTGGGGCTGCCCACGGGCAAGGCCCGGCGTCGCTCCCCCGCTGGGCAGGCCTCCTCCTCACTGGCACAGCGGCGCCGCTCCAGTGCCCAGCTCCAGGGCTGCCTCCTGAGCTGCGGGGTGAGGGCCCGGGGTTCCAGCCGCCGGCGCTCCAGCACTGTGCCCCCTTCCTGCAACCCCCGCTTCATCGTGGATAAGGTGCCCACTCCACAGCCTACCACTGTGGGGGCCCAGCTTCTTGGCGCACCCCTGCTGTTGACCGGGCTTGTGGGCATGAATGAGGAGGAGAAGGGTGTCCAGGAGGATGTGGCAGCCGGGGCGTGGAGCGCCGTCCAGCCAGGCACCAAGACACCAGGGCCATCCCCACCCCAGGGCGCCAGGCCGCTGTCTTCCCTGCCCCGCTACCTGCGCCGAGCCTCCTCCCACCTGCTCCCTGCGGATGCCGTGTATGACCACGCTCTCTGGGGCCTGCACGGCTACTATCGGCGCCTCAGCCAGCGGCGGCCCTCAGGCCAGCACCCTGGCCCTGGGGGCCGAAGAGCCTCAGGCACCACCGCCAGCACCGTGCTGCCCACCCGTGTGCGCCCACTGTCCCGCAGGCGCCAGGTAGCCCTACGGCGCAAGGCGGCGGGACCCCAGGCCTGGAGCGCCCTGCTCGCGTAGGTATAGCTGTGGCCAGCAGGGCGAGTGGTGTGTCCTCCTGTGAGTCTGGCCTGGGCAAGGGCCTTGAAGCTCTTCCCAAGTGTTCCCAGTTGGGAACACTCTGGGCAGTGCTCTGAAGCCAGCGTACCCCAAAAGGCCATGTCTCCTGCAGGGAGCCTCTTAGTCTCTGGGGCTGCTGGGAGGCTCCTCCGCCCTCCCTGTTGCCAAGGTCATGGAGAGGGCAGAGGCCCCAGGAGGTGGGAAGAAGTAGGGTCAGCAAGTGCTCAGCCCCCTTCTCAGCTGTCTTCTCCTCTATAGGAAAGCCATCACCAAGTCGGGCCTCCAGCACCTGGCCCCGCCTCCACCCACCTCTGGGGCCCCGTGCAGCGAGTCAGAGCGGCAGATCCGGAGCACAGTGGACTGGAGCGTGAGTGCCTAAACACCCCTGGGTCCCAGCCCCACTGGGCTCTTGGCCAAGGTGCAGTTGGAGGGTGGAGGCACTCCAGGCAGCTGGGAGAGCCAAGCCTGGAAGGGTTGGGACAGTGGGGCAGACGGAACAGAGCAGGGTTGATCAGGGCGCTGGAGCGGGTTTGTCTTGGGAGAGGGCGGGTGGGCAGGGGCTGATGGGAGGGAGGGCTGGGCGGCCAGCATGCGCTGAGCAAGCCCATCCCATGGCTAGGAGTCAGCGACATATGGGGAGCACATCTGGTTTGAGACCAACGTGTCCGGGGACTTCTGCTACGTTGGGGAGCAGTACTGTGTAGCCAGGATGCTGGTGAGTGCTTGCTGGGGCATGCTGCCCCCTGCTGGTGGAGCCAACAGCCGCTGCCTTTTTCCGGGAAGGTGGGATCAAGCCCGCTCCCTAGCGCCCCTGCTGTGGGTCGCCCCAAGATGGTGAGGGGTGCAGGGGCTTTGTGTGGACGCCAGGACTGGGGCTTCCCAGTGCACACACAGGGCAGCTGTGCTGAGGCAGGCAGCCTCCGAGATAGACTTACCTGGTGCCTCAGGGGCCCTCTCTTTCCTGTCCTGCAGCAGAAGTCAGTGTCTCGAAGAAAGTGCGCAGCCTGCAAGATTGTGGTGCACACGCCCTGCATCGAGCAGCTGGAGAAGGTGGGTGGGTAGCTCAGCTTTGCCCGCCCCTGCCCTTTGGGTGCTGAGGCCCTTTCAGCACACACACACCCCCACACATTATACAAACATGGCCTGCCAGGAGCGACCCAGCCCTCGGAGGTGAAGAGTCAAGGACCGTGGAGCCAAATAACTGCGTTCGAATCCTGGCTTCTCACTGATTAGCTGCTGTATCCCCACTGCCTGGAACAAACCTGGCACCTAGTGGGTTCGTTGAATATCACTCAATGGAATGAATTGACGAATGGTGGCCCTTGTACCATTTCCCATGTCCAAACTAGCGCTTAGAAGAGGCCATTGATTTGCTTCATTGAAGCTTCATAACTCAGCTGTGGCTGGGGGGATCCCCTACACCCCGCCTCTGTGGAGACCTTTCCCCAAGGGCCATTGTCCACTGTGCATTTGCATCTGGGGGCATGTCTGGGCACTGTGCTTCTAGAGGGAAGTGGAGGCAGCACTGGGCAGGCGGGTCAAGGCCAGGGGCAGAAGGGTTCGCGTGGAGGGGCAGGGCTCCCCAGCCTGCAGGAACCCAGGCCAGCATACGAGAGAGACTGTAAGACTAGGAATGGCTTAGGCAGGCTCACACGGGCTGCTTTCCCCAGCCCCTGAATTGTAAAGTGAGACTTCCTTATACCTCTAATAAGGCTGAAGTAGGGACAGTTATGAGAAAGGAAATAGAAATGCAGCCCCAAGCACTGTACACTGATCATCTAAGGTGGAAATCGAGCTAGGGTTCCACAGATTAGCTAAAGGTCTCCAGGGGCCAGGCAGTGCAAGTCTGCATGCGAGAACCAGGCTGGCTGCATGTGCCCAGGTCGTGAGTGCCAGAGGGCAAGGAAGAAAAGGATGCGGCCGAGCGCGGTGGCTCACGCCCGTAATGCCAGCACTTTGGGAGGCCGAGGTAGGTGGATCACCCTGAGGTCAGGAGTTTGAGACCAGCCTGGCCAACATGGTGAAACCCCATCTCTACTAAAAATTAGAAAAAGTAGCCAGGCTTGGTGGCATACACCTGTAATCCCAGCTACTCGAGAGGTGTTGGTTGCAGTGAGCCAAGATTGCACCACTGCACTCCAGCCTGGGTGACAGAGTGAGACTGTCTCAAAAAAAAAAAAGAACGATGAGCAAACCATGGTCCCATGTTAGTTGGGGGGACAAACCCGAAGCTCCCAACCTCCCCCTCATCCTGGGTGCTGGGTGGAAGAAGGAAAGATCCCTCTGGCTAGTGAGGAGGAGGCAGAGAGGCAGGAGGGCTTCTCACAGGAGGTGTCTCATGTTTCAAGGACTCTCGGGATGATATGAGGGTATCCCCGCCTTTTGAGGATGACTCTGGGTTGTCCTGGAGGAAGTGACCATATACCTGACCCCAAAGGGAGGTTCTGACATTTTGGTGGTCACTGCTGTGTTTCACAGATAAATTTCCGCTGTAAGCCGTCCTTCCGTGAATCAGGCTCGAGGAACGTGCGCGAGGTAAGTGTCCAGGGTAGGGTGCTCAGGGACAGGGCCACCCTAAGATTCTGGCATGGGCCTCTGTGCAGTGCCTCCGGAGTGCCACCAGAGGGCTCGGCTCCCTCTAGGCTGCTGCTGTCTGAGGTCTGAGTTCTGCCATGCGGAGGCCTAACTAGCGCTGCCTGCAGAGGGGGTGGGACAGCTTGTGCCTCTTGGTGCTTCCCAGCCTTCTCCGGCTCTCCTCTGACTCTGAGCCTCCCCTGGGCCATGAAGAGAGTCTTCAGCCCCTCCTCCACTCAAGCGCAGGACTGCAGAGAGCTTCCTGCAGCCCCCACCTTCGATGTATTGAGCCATGTGGGCCGTCCTCCCCCCGCCTACCCCTCACCTGGTGAAATTTCTCCACTTCTCCCCCAGCCAACCTTTGTACGGCACCACTGGGTACACAGACGACGCCAGGACGGCAAGTGTCGGCACTGTGGGAAGGTGAGAGGCCCTGCCCGAGGAAATCGCCACCTGCACCCGTGGGCCTGAGCCCAGGCTGTGTGGCCAATGTGGCCTGCCCATCACTGACCGCACCCTGGCGTGCAGAGTCCAGGGCTGACTCTCAGCCTGGCTGCAGTGCCTTCAGTCCCCAAACACCCTGGCCTGCTCTTGGTCTCTGGGCTTAGCAGGAGAGCAGGGAGGAAAGTTTTCTTCCGACGTGGCACGCCTGGCCTGCTTTAAAGCTGCAAGTGGCCCTTTGGAGAATCGTATAGACTTACTCATTCGGTGACTCCGTGGATACTTGTGTGCCAAGCACCAAGCTGGGCAGCGGTTTCCTACCCTCCTGAGGACAGTGTGGCTTGAAGCCAGGCTTTCCAGGCGACCGCCTAACACAGTCCACAGTTGTTTGGTTCACTTACTTGTTTGCTTCTTGCCCGCCTCCCTCAGTAAGTGCAGGCTCTCAAAGATGGAGAGGCTCACTTCACTGATTCTCAGCGCCTGGCCCACTACAGGCCTTTCATAACAGCCTGTGGGATGAACAGGGAATGAATGTGATAGGTACTCGGAAGCAGCAGTAAATTTCTTTAAGAGCACATGGGGGCCTGGTCAGGCCTCGGGGGTAGGAAGGAGGGAAAATCCGAGTGAGGCAGGAGTTAGCCTGCAGTATGCACACGGTGCTGTGCAGGTAACTTCAGGGAGTCAGGGGGCCCTGGCTAAGCAGCCCTGCTCTTCAGGCTTATTTTATATATATATATAAAAATACATATATATATGTGTGTGTATATATATAAATACATATATATATGTATATATAAAAATACATATATATGTATATATATAAATACATATATGTATGTATTTTTTTTTTTATTTTAAAAAATGTGTTCAGACTGGGCATGGTGGCTCATGCCTGTAATCCCAGCACTTTGGGAGGCTGAGGCAGGAGGATCACCTGAGGTGATGGAGATTCAAGACCAGCCTCGCCAACGTGGTGAAACCCCATCTCTACTAAAAATACAAAAAACTAGCTGGGCATAGTGGTGGGCGCCTGTAATCCCAGCCACCCAGGAGGCTGGGACAAGCGAATCGCTTGAACCTGGAAGGTGGAGGTCGCAGTGAGCTGAGATCACGCCACTGCACTCCAGCCTGGGCAACGAGCGAAACTCCATCTTAAAACAAAAACAAAAAATGCGTTCAGAGCTGGGCATGGTGGCACATGCCTGTTGTTCCCAGTTACTTGGGAGGCTGAGGCAGATTGCTTAAGCCTGGGAGTTTGAGACCAGCCCGGAAACATAGCGAGGCCCTGTCTCTGGGTGGATAGAGGTTGGCAGCAGGAGAGGGACTGGGTCTGCTGCTCCAGGCCCGCCCTGGTGCCCATCCGTCCTGTCTACCCTCAGGGATTCCAGCAGAAGTTCACCTTCCACAGCAAGGAGATTGTGGCCATCAGCTGCTCATGGTGCAAGCAGGCAGTGAGTGGTGCCCCCGCCCCCAGGGCCACGCCCTGCACTGCTGGGTTTGGGTCCCCGAGTCCGAACACGGTCCCGCTGAGCCCTACCCCTCACTCTCCTCAGTACCACAGCAAGGTCTCCTGCTTCATGCTGCAGCAGATTGAGGAGCCGTGCTCCCTGGGGGTCCACGCGGCCGTGGTCATCCCGCCCACCTGGATCCTCCGTGCACGGAGGCCCCAGGTGAGTACTTCCTGTACCCTTGATGCCCCCCACGTCCTTGGGGTCTGCCAGCCACCCCAGCCTGCCCACCTTGTCACCAACGCCCCTGCTTCCCTTGCAGAATACCCTGAAAGCAAGCAAGAAGAAGAAGAGGGCATCCTTCAAGAGGAAGTCCAGCAAGAAAGGGCCTGAGGTCAGTCCCAGGCTGGACAGAGGCTGCAGGGGAGCCGGAGAGAGGGGTCTGTGGCTCAGGGTACAGACCTTCCACCCCCGGCTAATGCTGCCAGCTGGCAGGGGTCCGTGTGGGCTCTGGGGCCTCTCAGGAGGGCAGGATTAGATGCCAGTTTCTGCTCTGTGGCCTGGTAAGATCTGGCCCAGAGGTGGTACATGAGGGTACACAAGGAGGGACAGAGTCACCCAGGGGGCCTGCTAAGGATGATGGTAGGGTGTCGTGGACAGGAAGGAGCTTACAGGCTCTCGCCTTGTCTCCCAGGAGGGCCGCTGGAGACCCTTCATCATCAGACCCACCCCCTCCCCGCTCATGAAGCCCCTGCTGGTGTTTGTGAACCCCAAGAGTGGGGGCAACCAGGTAAACGTGGCCTTGCCTCTCAGCTGAGGGCTCGGGTGGGGATTGGGGTCCAGCCTGTCTGCCAGCAGCTATTCCCAGAGCCCATTCTGGCTTCTGCCCCAATCCCTCTTTCCCAGGGATCCTGAGAAAATCCGGTCCTTTCTCCACCCCTCACCCCTTATTGGCCCTGGTTCCCACAGTCACACCCCTCTCCCTGTGCTTCTCCCACTTCGTCCCGCCACTGCCTGCCTGTCTCTCGGCTCCCGTCCCATCCAGGGTGCGAAGATCATCCAGTCCTTCCTCTGGTATCTCAATCCCCGACAAGTCTTCGACCTGAGCCAGGGAGGGCCCAGGGAGGCGTAAGTACTTGCCAAGGTTTTGTGGGGGACATGGGGGGGAACTTGCCTCACTCCTGGGGTACAGCACACATCCCGTGACCCCACTGCCATCTTCCCATGAGCCCAGGCTGGAGATGTACCGCAAAGTGCACAACCTGCGGATCCTGGCGTGCGGGGGCGACGGCACGGTGAGCTCCCTGCATGGGCCAGCTGAGCACCAGGGCTGGGCCTGAAGCCGGGATCCCCGTGGGCCTGACCTGCCTCTGCTCTCCCTCCCCCAGGTGGGCTGGATCCTCTCTACCCTGGACCAGCTACGCCTGAAGCCGCCGCCCCCTGTTGCCATCCTGCCCCTGGGTACTGGCAACGACTTGGCCCGAACCCTCAACTGGGGTGGGGTAAGCACCCATAGGAGGGGGGTGCAGCCGGGGCCTCTCCAGCCACAGAGGGCTCAGTCCCTGCCTCCTCCCCCAGGGCTACACAGATGAGCCTGTGTCCAAGATCCTCTCCCACGTGGAGGAGGGGAACGTGGTACAGCTGGACCGCTGGGACCTCCACGCTGAGCCCAACCCCGAGGCAGGGCCTGAGGACCGAGATGAAGGCGCCACCGACCGGGTAAGTTGGCCAGGGTGGGGCGGGGCAGGGAGGGCCACTGGGGACTGGGTCCCACTTTCCCACTTGTTGGTTCTGGGATCTTGGGCACGTCTCTTCATTTCTCCAGTTTCCACTTCTTCCTTGTACGATGGGAATAATAGTACTTGCCTCACAAAATGCTGTTTTTTTTTTTTTTTTTTTTTTTTTTTTTTTTTGAGGCTGAGTCTTGCTCTGTCTCCCAGGCTAGAGTGCAGTGGTGCAGTCTCAGCTCACTGCAACCTCTGCCTCCCAGGTTCAAGCAATTCTCCTGTCTCAGCCTCCTGAGTAGCTGGGATTTACAGGCATGTGCCAACACACCTGGCTAATTTTTTTTTCTTTTTCTTTTTTTTTTTTTTGAGACAGAGTCTCACTGTCACTCAGGCTGGAGTGCAGTGGTGCAGTCTTGGCTCACTGCAACCTCCACCTCCCAGGCTCAAGCTATTCTCCTGCGTCAGCCTCCTGAGTAGCTGGGACTACAGGCACCTGCCACCACACCTGGCTAATTTTTGTATTTTTAGTAGAGATGGGGGTCTCACCATGTTGGTCAGGCTGGTTTTGAACTCCTGACCTCAGGTGATCCATCTGCCTCGGCCTCCCAAAGTGCTGGGATTACAGGCGTGAGGCTCCACACCTGGCCAGAAGATGCTGCTTTATTCCACAAACATGCACTGAGCGCGTGCTACCTGCCAGGCACTACTCTCAGCAGTGAGCAAAACCACGCTCCATTGTTGTGTTCCACATGGCATGTCAGGAAGAAGTGTTAGGGGAGCTGACAGGGAAGAGATGCTGCCAGGCATGCAGGGAAATCCCCCAGGAGCCACCAGGCAGAGTAGGGCTGCGCCTGACGGCAGGTGAAGGCAGACACTGCTGACCAGGGAAGGCCTGTGAACAGATGGGCTGAGCTGGCTCGGCCACACAAGGCCCCTGGAGCGGGGACATCTGTGAGGCCCAGCCCTCATTTTGGTCCCTTGACCTTTTTCCAGTTGCCCCTGGATGTCTTCAACAACTACTTCAGCCTGGGCTTTGATGCCCATGTCACCCTGGAGTTCCACGAGTCTCGAGGTTGGCAGCCTCCCACTGAGGCCAGGGCAGGGTGGGCACAGGAGTGTCCCCAGGAGGGTCAGACCCTGCTCCTGCCAGTGAAGGCATCCATCCCAGCCCTCCCCCAACCCCACCTGGGCAGGCTGGGGTGACTCACTGGCCCCCCTGCTTGTCTCCACCCAGAGGCCAACCCAGAGAAATTCAACAGCCGCTTTCGGAATAAGATGTTCTACGCTGGGGTGAGTGGGTCTGCACCCCCGCCTGTGCCCACCTCTTCTACCACCCGTGCCCCTGCCCACCTGTGTCCACCGGGCCCCAGGAGCCTTGCCGGGTGCTGGTAAGGAAAGATCTCTGTCAGCAGATGGTGATGCTCTCTGTCTCCCACAGACAGCCTTCTCCGACTTCCTGATGGGCAGCTCCAAGGACCTGGCCAAGCACATCCGAGTGGTGGTGAGTGGGGCCAGGCTGCCGCGGGTAGGCGGGCCAGAAGGGAGGGAGGCCACCTGGCACATGCACCTCAACACCCTCCCCGCCCGCCTCTAGTGTGATGGAACAGACTTGACTCCTAAGATCCAGGACCTGAAACCCCAGTGTGTTGTTTTCCTGAACATCCCCAGGTGAGGAGGGGCCTCCTGGGGTGGGGGGAGGGGGCCCTGCTGTCCTCTCCTGTAGAGACTGTGTTTTGAGGCCCGTGTCATCGCCCGCCCATGCAGGTACTGTGCAGGCACCATGCCCTGGGGCCACCCTGGGGAGCACCACGACTTTGAGCCCCAGCGGCATGACGACGGCTACCTCGAGGTCATTGGCTTCACCATGACGTCCTTGGTAAGTGGGCGCTGGCCCCACGGTGCCTGGGAGCACAGCCCAAAGGTGGAAGGGGTCATCCACACTCGCCTCCATGGGCCACGGCAGCCTAGTTCATCCTCACCTTCCTTCTTTGTCTCGTTCCTCTGGCTCGAGAGCGGCACCCACCCCCTCTCCTCACTATGCCTCGGGATACCTTCACTCCCCACTCTGACTGAGGAGTCACCTTCATTGCCTCTGCCCCCTCCCCTCCCCACCTAGGGCCTCGCCCTCCCCTCTGCCCTCTGACCAGGGGTCACTCTCACCTTTGTTCTCTGGCTAGAGCTTCTGCTTTGGAAGGAGCAGAGCCTGGGGCCCGCCACCCCCAGCCCTGGTGCCATCTGACCCGAGCTTCCTGTGTCCACAGGCCGCGCTGCAGGTGGGCGGGCATGGCGAGCGGCTGACGCAGTGCCGTGAGGTGGTGCTCACCACGTCCAAGGCCATCCCGGTGCAGGTGGACGGCGAGCCCTGCAAGCTTGCAGCCTCACGCATCCGCATCGCCCTGCGCAACCAGGCCACCATGGTGCAGAAAGCCAAGCGGCGGAGCGCCGCCCCCCTGCACAGCGAGTACGTCCCACCCCGCCACGTGCCCTGGGCGCCGAGGCCAGAGCCTGCCCTCTCTGGGCCTTGGTTTCCCCATCTGTAAAAGGGGCTGACTGTCCCTCTGCCCCAGGGGTGTTGGAGTGGGGCGGGACCTTCTCTCGGCACGTGGTTTGGTGCCAGGCCGAGGGCGGCACCCAGGCAGGGCCCTTGCTGAGCCCCCGCTTACCGGCGCTGCCCGACAGCCAGCAGCCGGTGCCCGAGCAGCTGCGCATCCAGGTGAGTCGCGTCAGCATGCACGACTACGAGGCCTTGCACTACGACAAGGAGCAGCTCAAGGAGGCCTGTGAGTGCAGTAGGGTGGTCTGGCAGGGTGGCCAGGAGGGGATGAGGCAGCCGGGGCCCCCTTGGGCAGGGCTGTGGGATGCAGCCAGCTGCTGACAGGTGCTCTGTCCTCCAGCCGTGCCGCTGGGCACTGTGGTGGTCCCAGGAGACAGTGACCTAGAGCTCTGCCGCGCCCACATCGAGAGACTGCAGCAGGTAAGGGGTGGGGGCTTCCCCAGGTGCCCACCAAGAGGGTGGCGAGAAGTGAGGACATGCCCCTTCCTCCCGCAGCGAGCTCGCCCTGCAGAGCCTCCTCTGTGCTGGTGACCCTACTCCAAGTTCCCTTCCCTCCCTGGCCCCCACTCTGTCCCAGCCTGGACTTTGCTTCTCTCCACAGGAGCCCGATGGTGCTGGAGCCAAGTCCCCGACATGTCAGAAACTGTCCCCCAAGTGGTGCTTCCTGGACGGTGAGTCTACTCCAAGAGTGCCAGGCTGTTTCCTGTCCCCTCCCTAGGGGAACCCAGGTGGGGGCAGCAGAGGACCTAGGCCTGGACATGGCACTCCCTGATCCTCGGCTGCCCTCTCTCCCACAGCCACCACTGCCAGCCGCTTCTACAGGATCGACCGAGCCCAGGTGAGCGATTGCAGGCCTGCTCCAGCCACAGCTGGTTCCGGGCCCCAGGGTCGCCTCTCCTGGGGTGCCTTCCCTGTTAGCTCCCCTGATGGGCTCACCTCTGTCCTCATGCCTCTGAGGGCCTTCACACTTGTGTGTGCACAGACTGGGTTGCGGCCCTGCCCTCCACACTGGAGAGTACAGCGTGGTGCCAGCCGGAAAGGCAGCCGGGTACCTAGCAAAGGCTTGCTGGGTGGGCAGGAGGGCCTGGAAGCCCAGAGCCATCTAGGGAGACATAGAAGCAAAGGCACTCTGGCCAGGTGCCAGCTCATCTGGTAAAGGCTGGGCAGTCGGAGGAGGTGTCAGGAATGGGAAGGAGTGGGAGAGGGACAGGCAGGGCCCCTTGCCTGGCCACCTCCTTTCGGTGTTTGTGCTCACAGCAGAGGCTTCTCCAGGTCTGCCAGCCTTGCTGCCCCTCGGCCCCCTCCGTCAGGTGCCCTGACCTCCTGCCCTGACCTCCCCCCCACAGGAGCACCTCAACTATGTGACTGAGATCGCACAGGATGAGATTTATATCCTGGACCCTGAGCTGCTGGGGGCATCGGCCCGGCCTGACCTCCCGACCCCCACTTCCCCTCTCCCCACCTCACCCTGCTCACCCACGCCCCGGTGAGTCCTGGTGTTCTGTTCCTCCAGCCCCCAGCTTTCAGCCCCACATGTAAGCCGATGACTCCGGAATCCCTGCTTCCAGCCCCTCCACCAGTTGACTAAATGGTGTCAACCTGCACCTGGCCAAAGCCCCCCCTGACACCTTCAGCCCTGCAGTTCCCTGGGGAAGCAGCCTCACATCCACCTGGGCTCGCTCCCTGACTTCTACCTCCCCTGGACCTCATCCTTCAGCCAGTCCTGGGGGCCCCTGCCCCACCACCCGAGCACTCCCCCCATCCCCACTGCCGCCAGCCTGTCTGGCACCAGGGGTGCCATGCCACACCCTGGCCCCCAGCTCTTATATCCCTGCAGCCATTCGTGCCCTCCCACCCCCGTCTCCACACCACGGCCAACTAAAAATGCAGAGCATACCAGGCCATTCCCCTACCTAGAAGCTTCTTTCTCAGCATCCCTTTGAACTCAGGTTCTCCCCAGGCCCCCGGTCATTGCACTGGGCTCCCAGCCCCCTCCCTGCGTTCACCTCCACGGTCCTGCCCCACTCTCTTTTCCTGGTTCTTTGAGGCCTCAGGCTTTTGCCACCACTGGACTTCTGTCATCACTGCCTCCAACTCTTCCCCCATCTTTCCAGAGCTCCCCCACCCCCATCCCACTCGAATCTCAGCTTGGCAGTTTCCTCCTTGGAGAGGTCACTCCTAGGACCCCTTCTGCAGGGGTGCCACACCACCTGTTCTGAATTCTTCAGAGCACCCTTGCTCTCAGAACTCCTTATTTATTTGACTTGTTTGCATCCCTGAACTAGAATGTAAGCTCCATGAGGGCAAGGGCTTCCTCTGCCTGGTTTCCCTGCTGTATCCCCAGTACCCGGAATAGTGCTTGGTGTGTAGCAGGCACTCAATAAACTGTGGAAAGGATGAAGACGCCCCCAGTTGGGGCTGGGGAGGGCGAGCAGCTGGCCTGTGCCGTAGCTGGTCACAGCACATCGTGCTCTGTTGCAGGTCATTGCAAGGGGATGCCGCACCCCCTGAAGGTGAGGCCTCTCCCTCTGGGGCCCCTCCTTTCTGCCTGGTTGGGGGCAGGAGACTCAGTGGGGTGGGGATAGGGCCCAGATACAGCCTTACACAAACACAGCCTTCGAGCTTCACGCACCAACCCAGCCCTGGGCGCACATGCCCGGCAGGCACAGTCCTGTCCACTGAAACACCAACCCAAGCCCAGGTCCCCGACTGCAGAGTAACGGGCAGGTGTTCCGTGCAGGTGAAGAGCTGATTGAGGCTGCCAAGAGGAACGACTTCTGTAAGGTACTAGCTCCAGGCTCCAGTTCCTTCCCCCAGCAGCTCCCTCAGGTCCTGGGGAGCAAGGCCTCTGGGTTGAGCCAAGAGCTGACCTGCTCAGGTGCTGTCATCTGTCATCCTCTGGCCCTCTGTGGGATCTCCAGTGATCGTCCCATTCCACCTTACCCTATCTCTGTCTAGGCCACAATAGATGGCTCCTAGTAGGGGCTTCCTAGCTCAGTCCACCAGTCCCTGGTGCTTAGAAAGGAGCAGGTCAGAGGAAGCACTGCTCCAGGGCCTGGTCACCAATGCTGCCAGGGAGCCCACAGGCTGTGGGGTGAGAGGCCCCTCTGGTGCTCCAGAGAGACCCACAGAGGCAACTCGGGAGTAAGATGTATGAGCGCACTCATTTCAGGCCTGTGCTGGTGTACCCGGCTGTGGGCCAGCGTGTCAGCTGGGGGAAGGAGGGGTGGCCCCAGGAGGCCCTGCCCTGCCATGCCTCCTGCCCTCAGCTCCAGGAGCTGCACCGAGCTGGGGGCGACCTCATGCACCGAGACGAGCGGAGCCGCACGCTCCTGCACCATGCAGTCAGCACTGGCAGCAAGGATGTGGTCCGCTACCTGCTGGACCACGGTGAGCCGGGCGATGGAGCCCAGGGCCTGGGGCCAAGGTGGGAGGAGGAGGGGCTGTCAGGCCTCTCTGACCACCCTCTCCCCTTCTCCAGCCCCCCCAGAGATCCTCGATGCCGTGGAGGAAAAGTGAGTATCTGGGCAGTGCAGGACCCTGGTCATCCCAGAAACCGCCCTTTTCCCCACCCCTCCCATTTTGTCAGGTCAGAGCCCGTAAACTTTCTGGCCACATCTGTCATCCCCTGGGCCACCCCTGTTGCCCCAGAGCCCCGAACTTCGTGCCTTTTCTGATGGCCCTTGGGAGACAGATGGGTGGATCAGGGGCCGGGATGGGGTACACAGCCAGCCCCTGCTCCCCCAGCGGGGAGACCTGTTTGCACCAGGCAGCGGCCCTGGGCCAGCGCACCATCTGCCACTACATCGTGGAGGCCGGGGCCTCGCTCATGAAGACAGACCAGCAGGTGAGCAGACGGCGGGCAGGAAGCCCATGCAGGCACCAACCAAACCCTTCCCAAGGTCCTAGAGGAGAGCTGGGGCTGGGGGCTGTCCCTGGGAAGACGCAGTCCAGACCCTGAGAAACCTGAGCCAGCAGGGGAGGAGCTGGTGGGCAGAGAGGCCTCCCTCCCGACCAGGCCACAGGGAGGTAGAGCCCCTGCTTCTCAGCCTGCTGGGGGGTAGGCCTGCCTCTGGCCCCTGCTGATCGCAGCTCCCCCCTCCTCCAGGGAGACACTCCCCGGCAGCGGGCTGAGAAGGCTCAGGACACCGAGCTGGCCGCCTACCTGGAGAACCGGCAGCACTACCAGATGATCCAGCGGGAGGACCAGGAGACGGCTGTGTAGCGGGCTGCCCACGGGCAGCAGGAGGGACAATGCGGCCAGGGGACGAGCGCCCTCCTTGCTCACCTCACTGCCACATTCCAGTGGGACGGCCACGGGGGGACCCAGGCCCCAGGGAAAGAACCCCGTGCCGCGCCCTAAGGAGCCGCCCAAACCTAGGGCTGGATTCAGGAGCTGGGGGCCTCACCTGTCCCCCTGAGGCCCCCAACGGACCCGGAGGCTCACAGGGGAACAGGACAGGGCTGGGTTGGACATGCCTTTGCGGGGGGATTCTGGGTCAGGGCGCTCCCTGGCCGCAGCAGATGCCCTCCGAGGAGTGGAGGGGCTGGAGAGAGAGGGAGGCCTTCGGAAAGAGGCTTCCTGGGCCCCCTGGTCTTCGGCCGGGCCCCCAGCCCCCGCTCTTGCCCCACCCCACCTCCCCCGGGCTTCCTCCCGGACACCCAGCGCCTGCTGCACTTGCCCGCCCTGCCCTGCTTGGCACCCGCTCCGGCGACCCTCCCCGCTCCCCCGTCATTTCATCGCGGACTGTGCGGCCTGGGGGTGGGGGGCGGGACTCTCACGGTGACATGTTTACAGCTGGGTGTGACTCAGTAAAGTGGATTTTTTTCTTTTCTGCTTTTCTTCTTTTGCGGAGGAGGTCTAACAAAAAGCGGGGGCTGCGGGGTTGTCCTCGGGGTGGGGAACTGGATGCTGTCGACAGCACCTTCTCGGGTCCCCGGCTCCCGTTTGGGGGTGGGTCCCAGGGCCTGCCCGGTTCCTGACCTCTGCCCGACGGCCGAGCTCGTCGGGGCCAGGGGCGGGGCCGATCCCTCCGGCTTCCCGCTTCCCGCGGGGAACAACAATGAAAGTGAAAGGGGTGGGGCGGGGGCGAGCCCGGCCTCTGTGGCCCATTTGCCCTGTGGCCTTGAGCAAGCCCCTCCCCCAGGCCTCGGGGGCTCTCCCGGTTTGGGGGAACCGGGCGAGGCAATGCCGCAGGCCAGGGGTCAGAGGGGGTGGGCACTTGGAGCCGCCGCTGTGGTCAGGTCTGGAACTTCTCAGACGGCTCGTGTCAGCGCCAAGTTTCACCAAATCCAGGTCTGCGGGCTCCTCCCTCAGGACCCCCACTCGCTGTCCCTCATGCCTGTGCTCCCGGAAAGGCACTGGGTGACCGCACCCGTGACTTTCTCTGGGGGTCCGAGTCCCAGACTCCCCACAGCACAGCAGAGCGCCTCCCTGCCCACCCGCGGAAACGGCCCCAGGTGGCGCCCCCTCCCCAGTAGCCCGCAGGGCGCCAGGGCTGAGCCGGCCGTGGAGGGGAGCGGGCCCGGCTCGTTATACAGTCGCGGGGGCTCCGCGGCAGGCAAGGGAAGCCGGGGCCTGAGGGCGGCCCGGGCCCTGGCGTACGGCAGGGGATGACCCGGGATGGGGGCAGCGGGCGGCGGCTCAGGGAGTGGGCCGGGGGCCGGTGCGCGCGGGCGGGAAGGGGCCTGGGGCCGGGAGACCACCGCTCGGAAGATGGGGCCGGGAGAGGCCGCCGTCGCAGCGCGGAGGACACCGGCGGGGAGAGGCGAGGGCGCGGGGCTGAGCGCACGGACGCCGGAGTACAAGCTCAGGGGGCGCGGGCGGGAGCGGGGGCGGGGACGCCGGGGTCGGGGGCGGTGCGGGTTTGAGGGGAGGGGGTGGGGCGGGTCCTTCCCTGGGGGGTGGGGAGAGGGGGCGGGGGCCCATGTGACCGGCTCAGACCGGTTCTGGAGACAAAAGGGGCCGCGGCGGCCGGAGCGGGACGGGCCCGGCGCGGGAGGGAGCGAAGCAGCGCGGGCAGCGAGCGAGTGAGCGCGCGGCGGCCCCCGGTCCTCCCGGCCGCGGCCGATCTGGGGGCTGGAGGCGGGGGTGGGGGTCTGAGCTGCGTCCTGGGCTCGAGGCGTCCCCCGGGGAGTCGCCTCTCGGCGGTGCGTCCGGGCTAGCGGCGAGGGGCCGCCCCAAGTCTTCCCACCGCCGCCACCCTAGCAGCCCGACTTGGGGCCTAGAAAGTGGGGCACGCGGGGGTGGGAGGGCCCTGCACGCGGCCCCCGGTGGGGAAGGGGACGGGCCAGGGACTCAGACTCGCGCTCTCCCCCCAGGATGCAGCACCGAGGCTTCCTCCTTCTCACTCTCCTCGCCCTGCTGGCGCTCACCTCCGCAGTGGCCAAAAAGAAAGGTGATGGGGGATGATCGAAGGAGGGCTGGGGACGGGCAGGCGAGGCCCCGCCACCTCTGGGCTGGGCCTCCTGGGTTCCCAGCCTGGAACCCCAGGAAGGCGGCCCCTGAGGGAGTCTCCCCGTGCCCCCGTCCTGAACTCTGTTCCCCGCGCGTTGTAGACAAGGTGAAGAAGGGCGGCCCGGGGAGCGAGTGTGCGGAGTGGGCCTGGGGGCCCTGCACCCCCAGCAGCAAGGATTGCGGCGTGGGTTTCCGCGAGGGCACCTGCGGAGCCCAGACCCAGCGCATCCGGTGCAGGGTGCCCTGCAACTGGAAGAAGGAGTTTGGAGGTGAGGCGGGGCGCAGGCGGAGGGCAGAAGATGGGGGCACAGCCTCGCCGAAGCCTGGGCAGACCCTTGGAGGGACGGCCGCGGGGCGTGCAGCGCTGACCCGGGCCGCTCTCCCACCAGCCGACTGCAAGTACAAGTTTGAGAACTGGGGTGCGTGTGATGGGGGCACAGGCACCAAAGTCCGCCAAGGCACCCTGAAGAAGGCGCGCTACAATGCCCAGTGCCAGGAGACCATCCGCGTCACCAAGCCCTGCACCCCCAAGACCAAAGCCAAGGCCAAAGGTCAGCGAGAGGAGAAGGGGGTGGGGCTGTCCCAAGGGGTCTGCTCCCCCCCCTCTCCCGCCCCCGCCGCCTGTGAGGGGACCATTCCAGGTTAAACCTTAAGTTTTGAGTCCTGGCCAATAGCTTCCTGACATCGCCTCACTTGGCTTCCCTGCCTGGAAAAGTCTAGAGATGGGCGCTACAAGAGGGGCAGCAGGTGATGCTGGGGACATAAATCTTCCCTGGCCCAAATAGGGACCAACTCAAGCTACTCCATTGGAGCATCTGGCTTAGGACCCAGGGAAAGTTGTCCTGGAACGGCTTGCCTTTGTCAGCTCTCCAGCCACGGGCAGCATCTGGTCAGCTCTGCCCTTTCTAGTGTTGGGAGGAGGTCACAGCCCACCCTGGGCCTCTCAGCTCACTCCTGACTCAGCTCAGCGAGGCCAACAGGGCACGGGTGAATCTGCCCGCTTCTCAGGTGAGGAGGCTGACGCTGTCCAGGGCTGCTGTGACCAGGACCGGAACCGGAAACTTGAAGGTTTTCTGATCCCAAGTGGAAATAGGAAGCTGGGGGTGTCCGATGTCCACATCACAATGGCGGCCCCATCCCTTGCTTCCGGGTCAGCTGATTGGAAACCACTAGGGGGCAGAATCTTCTCCTCCTTCCCTGATGCCTGGGTGTTTGTGGAGCCCGCGGTCTGCAATGGGTCGGCCTGTTGATATGGTATTAATCTTTCTTTCTTGTTTTACAGCCAAGAAAGGGAAGGGAAAGGACTAGAGGCCAAGCCTGGATGCCAAGGAGCCCCTGGTGTTACATGGGGCCTGGCCCACGCCCTCCCTCTTCCAGGCCCAAGATATGACCCACCAGTGCCTTCTGTCTGCTCGTTAGCTTTAATCAATCATTCCCTGCCTTGTCCCTCTCACTCCCCAGCCCCACCCCTAAGTGCCCAAAGTGGGGAGGGACAAGGGATTCTGGGAAGCTTTAGCCTCCCCCAAAGCAATGTGAGTCCCAGAGCCCACTTTTGTTCTTCCCCACAATTCCATTACTAAGAAACACATCAAATAAACTGACTTTTTTTCCCCCCCAATAAAAGCTTTTCTTTTTTAATATATAAAAGCCCCTTCCCAAGGAGTTTGCTGTGGAAATGTGTTTGGGAGTGGGAAGGTGGGGAGAAAGACCAGGCTGTAGGGACTGGTGGGTTTCAGGGGGCTGGGGGCTTGGTGGTGGGTGCTCTCCAGAGCTCATGGAAAAAGCAGAACAATTACAAAAATTTCTTCCAGGGCCCCCGAAAGGGTGCCCGCCATCAAGTCGCCTAAGCCTCTCGGTCCTCATCTCCCCCAGGGACCAGGGCTGGGGAAGGGAACCTGGCTGACTCACTGGAACCACCGCACCCATCTCAGCCTCGCCCAGTCAAAGGTCTTTTGATCCAACCCACAGCCAATCAGGAAGGTTCTACCCATTGGGGGAGAGCAGATGCGGGGGTTGCGTGCCTACCTCACAGCCCACCTCCCCCTTCCCACTGTCACGGAAACCCGAGTGGGCCACCAGGTCGACCCCTTTCCTCTTGCCTGTGTGACCCAGGCCTCCACCCTGCAGAAGCCAGAGGGTGAGAGGTTTGAAGAGGGCGGATGGGAATACCGCCCACCACAGCCTCACCCTGACTCGATGTGCGACCTGGGACAGCCTTCTAAGGCCGGGGCCGCAGGGGGCTGTCTTCTGAATAAGCGGACCACTCTCAGCTCAGCCTGGGACCGGAGGAGGCCAGACCTCAGTTCCTGAGAGAGAACCCCTGACCTCCCAGCTGCCCCATCGTAATGTGACAAGGGCAGTGCTGCTGGGGTTGAGACCTGGCCTCCACCATACCCACCCAGAACCTGGCTAAGTAGCTGCAGCCAGAGAGTTCTGCCCCTGGAGTGGGATTTGGGGAGAGGGGGCTGAGCCTACATGCAGGGTGCAGGGGGGCAGAAAGCACCGATTACAGCAGAATGGGGGACTCCAACCCTTCTACTCCCATCCCAAGCCTCCTTTTCCAAGCACTGGTTCCTCTGTTCCTCCTGAGGGGCCCTGGGCTTCGGCCCCCGTCCAGATGTCCATTCTCTCAGCACTGCTGATGGCCACAGTGGGGCAGGTGCCCACCCAGGCCAGTGCCCCACAGCTCGCGGAAGCAGGGCCACAGAGGTGGGCCAGGCAGCCCCAATTCAGACATTCCCTGGGGTGAGCCTCCTCAGCCTGAGCAGAGAGCTGGTCTCTGAATGCAGCCAGAGCCTCTTCTGAGCTTCCTCCTCAGCAAACATGAACACGGAATGGTGCCTGCAACTCTTCCCCACAGCAGGTGAGCCGTGTGGTCCCCCAGCAGACGCACGCAACACCAGCACCTCCTAGGGCACTCCTGCCTGCCTACCTGGCAGTGCCAATGTTCCGATACTGGCACAGCAGCAGGTGCCGGAAGGTCTTTTTAAAGGTGGCGTTGCACAGAGCATAGCAGGCAGGGTTGATGGTGCTGTTGACATAGCAGAGCCAGTAGCCAATGGACCACACTGTGTCAGGGATGCAGCTCTGGCAGAAGGTGTTCACCAGGACCATGACGTTGTAGGGCGTCCAGGTGAGGATGAAGGCTAGCAGAATGGCAAAGATCGTTCGTGTCACTTTGCGCTCCCGGGCCGCCATCTGCCGCTTCTTGCGCACCTGATTGCGAGCGATGCTGGCGAACTTGCGGGCCACGTTGGCCGCAGGGCGCATGCCAGCAGGCGTGGCAGGCACAATCTCAATGGCTGTCACACACTCATTGCCTGTCTGCTTTGTCACGATCTGGATCTTGGACCATTTGGAAGCCGGGTTGAGGGCCCGCGGCTGCAGGGAAGGGGCGGGCATGGCGGGTGTGGTGGCGTCTGTGGTGGACAGCTCTGTGGCTGGGCGTTCCTTGGTGTTCTGGGTGGCACTGCCTGAGCTGGACTCATTGGAAGTGTCCTTGTCAGTCATGGGGCGTGGTGGTGGTGGCAGCGCCGGCGGGGGGGCCTCCTCCAGCTTGCCGTTGCGCAGCTCCTCCCGGGCGGCCTCCCCGGGTGGGGGCTTCTTGACGCTCTGCTTCATTAGTGGGCTCTTGAGAAAGGCCAGCGTCTTGGCTTTCTTCTCCTTCGGGCCTTCGGGCCGGTGCTTGTGGACTCGGCTGCGACTGGCCAGGGAGATGTGGATGTACAGCACCGTCATGATGACCACAGGCAGGTAGAAGGCAGCGATGGCTGTGCCGAAGGTCACTGCTGGGTTGGACAGGAACTGGATGAAGCACTGGTTGTCGGGCACTGTCCTCTTGCCCACCACAAACTGCCAGAACAAAATGGCAGGCGCCCAGAGCACGAAGGACAGGACCCAGGCAGCGGCAATCATGAGGCCTGCCATCTTGGTGGTACGCCGGGCAGGGTAGGTGAGGGGCTTGGTGACGCAGAAGTAGCGGTCAAAGCTGATGATGAGAAGGTTCATGACGGAGGCATTGCTCACCACGTAGTCCAGGGCCAGCCACAGGTCGCAGACCACAGCGCCCAGGGGCCAGTAGCCCTTGATGATGTACACGGTGTAGAGGTTCATGGAGAAGGCGCCTATGATGAGATCGGCACACGCCAGGCTGAAGAGGAAGTAGTTGTTGACTGTCTGCAGCTGCCTGTTGACTTTGATGGACAGCATCACCAGGATGTTGCCCACGACAGTCACCAGGCTCAGGGAGCCTGTCACCGTGGCAATGAAGACCATTTCCACCGTCTCGTAGCGATTGTGGGTTGATGATGTGACCAGGCGCACGGACTGATTGCCCGAGCTGCCATTGACAGGTGTGAAGTTGGCCATGTTGGTTGTCAGGGGTGGGTAGGCCGTGTCTGGGGAGGAAGGGGAGAGAAAAGCATGAACTGCAGAAGGGGATGGGGGGAGTCATCTGGAGGCACACTGGCATCAAGGTGACAGAGGGACACTCCCTGGCAGAATGTCTTGAGAGAACTCTGTCCCGCCATCCCGCATTTGCCCATTCATTCAACATTAATTGAGCACCTACTACGTGCCAAGCCTTGCTCAGGGTGCTGTGGCTACAGAAGTGAGTAAGACACACATGGCTCCCTGCCTCCTGGGGGGAGATATGCAAACACGTGAGCCACAAAGGAAAAAAAGGCAGGGCGACGGGAGAGTGAGTCAGAAGGCAGGACAGCCATGACTCCTTGCTGGGTGATCAGGGAAGGCCTCACCCATCAGGTCATCTGGGTGATGGGGAGCCAGCCACAGGAGGAGCTGCGGAGAGTGGCCCTGCCAGGGGCAGTGGCCACAGCAAAGGCCCGGAAGCAGCACAAGGCCTGGACAGAGGCCAGTGTCGGAGGAGCTCAGGGAAGCAAGAGGAGGAGGAGAGTGGTCCCAGAGGCCCACCAGCAGTGGGTAATGACTTACCCACTCAGTCATTTCTTAACACCTGCTCTCCAACCCCTGTAGAAGGCACTGGGACAAAGGCAATAGTAGGGGTATCTATGAGCACCTAACACTGATGGTCTACTAAGTGCCAAGCACTTCTGACACTTGAAAAAAAGCGTCTATTTATTTCTTTATCTATTTATTTGTAGAGACAGGAAAAAAATATGTTGTCCAGACTGGTCTAGAATCCTTGAGCTCAAGTCATCCTCCCACCTCCTGAGTAGCTGGGACTCCAGGTGCCACCATGCCTGGTAACACTTTTTATAGTGTTAACTCATTTCATCCTCACAACAAACCTATGAGGTAGATACCATTTTTTTTCTTTACTACTTACAGTTGGGGAAACTGAGGCACAGAGCTGTTAAAAGCCTGACGAAGGTTTCACAGCTTCTTGCATTATACTGCTGGTGGGGATGTGTGCGGGGTTAGATGGTGAGAGGAAGGCAGTCCTGTAACTAAGAGCTCTGGCTGAGGGAGGCCAAAGAGCTCGAGGAGCCAGAGGGCTTTGCAGGGGACCAGAGATGGCGCCTGGAGCTGGGCACCCCAGAGAGGAGGAGAGTCCCTGCAGAAGGGGCCTCGGGAAGTACCTGCCACTGTCGCATCCCCTTCAAGGAGCCCTCAGCTCCAGCCACAGGACATGCAGCTGGGAGGGAAGAAGTGCAGGGGTCACTAGGGGTTATCAGAGACCCCTGAGGCCCAACTGGGGACCCATGAGGTAAAAAGATTGTCCTAGAGGGAAGAGAAGGGCTGCCAGGGCCGCCCCTTCCCTCCGCAGTCCACTCCCCACACCGGCGGCGCCCTAGCTGGAGTCCCCACCACAGGCCCTTCCCTGAGCCTGCCCTCCCTCCCACCAGTCTCCTCTTAGCTCTCCTCCCCCTCTTCCTCTTCCCTCCATGTGAGGGAGGCCCACGCCAGCTCCGAGTGCCAGGGCAGCCGCTCAGCCCAGCCTCCTTCACACCCGCCAACACACACACCGCTCCACAGACGCACGCGGGCCCATCACAGCCACGCCAGCCCAGCAGGCATGGTCGGATACGCAGTGCTGTGCGTCTGTGTGTGAGAGGAAGAGAGGGCGCGGCAGCCGGCTGTGGAGGAAGGAGGACTAGCCTGCAGCCTGGGCTCCAGCTCTGTGGCCATAGACAAGCCACTGTGCCTTCCTGCACCTCTTTCTCATTTGCAGAATAGAGAGGATCCTGTCCTGGGAGATCCTCCCCAGCAGCTATAGGGATTAGCACCTAAACTTGATCTCTATACATAAACACAAAAATGTACTGCAGGCTGGGGCCAAGGGTCAGGGTAACGGCCCCAAGTCTGACCCCAGCCCTTCTATTCCACCATCACAGATACAGACCCAGCCTCCTAGCCTGATAGTTCAATTTCTCCTCTGCTAAATCCTTGGTTCGTAGGAGGAGAGGCTGAGAGCAGGTATTGTCACCCCCAAGGTCACACAATGAGTCAAGGGCAAAGACCAGATACTGCCCTTTCTCGGGGTCCCTGACAACCCCATTTGGCTCTGAGAGCCTCTGAAATAGAAACTCAGGTGTCACTCTCTGCCCTGTCCCCTCCAGCACCAGGAGGCTGCCCTCCCGCAATCACTCACGTGCAGTAGCGGACAGGGCAGGCAGGAGCAATCAGTCAGCCAGCCCCAAGGAAGCTCACTTGAGCCTCCCAGGGCAGGACGCAGGCCAGCAGGATGATAACAAACGGGGCTAGAAGTGCAGAGTGTGAAAACATAATAGCTCTTGTTTATTGAGTGTTAACTGTGCGTCAGGAACCCCTCTGAGCTTTTAATATAGATTATCTGGTTTCATCCTTACAACAGCCTGAAAAAGCAGGTATTATTAGTATCCTCATCTTACAGATGTAAATATCCTCTTACAGACGAGGATAATATTAATCAACTGGCCCAAAGTCACCAGGTTAGGAAGTAGGGGAGTGGGCAGGAGAAGAACCCGGAAACCTCCTTCTTAAGTCCAAGGTACTACTGCTCAGAGTTGACCTCCTGCCTCCGCTCCCCTCTACCCGAAAACCACACAACTGAGGGACTGTCCAGGTGAGGCTTGGGTAGGATCCCCTCACGTTCCTGCTGGCTTCTCGACTTAGCTTTCCCAGAAGACAAGCGATGATCTTGTCTTCTCCCAGATCCTGGTGGCCGGGCTGAGCCGGGACCACTGGATGGCCTGTGGTTAAGTCCTGCTCTTGGCCCGCGTGAGGGAGCTGCCAGGGCGAGGCTCAGCGTCTCCCCGACTCCCGACTCCGCCCCGCCCCAGCTGTCGTCTTTTTGGACACTTCGGGGTCACCCGCAGACATTCGGACAGCAGCCCTCTCTGGCGCCTTTCCCTGGAATCCAGATGCGCCTGGATCTGGGGAGCGAGCAGCCGCCGCCGCCAGGGCTGTGCGCACCGCTAGATGGCAATGTCGGTCCCTGGTGCCCGCTCCGGACCTAGACCGTGCGGCCGCCGTTGGCCACCGCCCCCAACTCCAATACGACTGCGAACCCAGAGGAGCCCTCAAGCAGAGCCTCCCGGGGAAGGGACGTGGGTTCCCCTCGCCAGGCCCCGTGGGACGCCGCCCCAGAGCTGCCCTCGGCTCCGCGCGGGGTTCTCGGGTGGGAAAGTTGAGGGAGCCCGGATTCCACCCGGCACCCTGCGAGGAACGTGTGGGCGGGAGCGCGAGTGCGAGTTCTGTTTGTGTGTGCCTACGGGGGAGCGCGAGTAGACGCTAGTAGCTGTCTGCATGTGCGTGTGTGTGCGCACGGCCACGCCTGGATACCAGTGCGCCCGTGAGAGCGCGTGAGCATGCCGCGCCGTGTGGACACGTGCATGTGCATGCGTGTGCGTGCCTAGGGTGCTGTGGCCGGGAGGATGCACACGGTTCGGGTGCCTCTACACCTGTGGACTTGCATGCACAAGCAAATGCAGGGCAGAGAATGGGTGACCGGTTACATTCCAAACGCCCCTGCCAGGAGACTCAGCCAGACCTTAGCTGTCCGCCTGAGCGCGGAGAGGGTCGGGCCAGGAGCCCGCGTCGGTATTGCACCTGGCCTGTGGGTGAAGGGTCGTGCGGATGAGGAGGCCAGACTACTAGGGGCTGCGTGCGACGGGCCACCTAACTTTGGGACGCCGTCTTAGCCCGGTGCTCAGAGGTGTCCAAGTCCTTAAAGATGTGGCAGAGTCGCAACCTCTGACTGACATCTGTCGTGGGGCCTCTGCGAGAGTCGCCCAACCCAGCCTTGAGGGACACCAGGCAGGCTCAGCTCTGCGTGCCCCTAAGACGAGTTATTGCCAAAAGCAGCCCAGTCTCGCGGCGAGAGGGCACCGGCAGTGCATCCACAAGGCGGAGGCCTGGACGGAGCTCGGGTCAGGCGAGTGCAAGACTCTTGTCTTCGCTCCTCACCCTGCACCCTACCCCAGAGGCACTTTCTAGCCTCCCTGACCAAAGTGGGCACCCAGTTTCTCACGCTAGGGTCTGGCGGGCCTCGAGGGCCGGGTTTTCCTGGGCCATCTGGAGGCTCCTCCATGTCTCCGCTGTGGTCGAAGGAGCCCTGGCTCTCGGGTGCCCCGCCCTCCCTCCAACCCCCTAGCACGCAGTTCCTGCAGCCTCTGGGCGTGGGCACTGTGCTTTTCCGAGTCCTCGACACCCCTCTTCCCCGGGTGAGACCGGAGGGGGTGCTCCGGGCGCCCGTGGGGTGGTTTGGGGTGTAGGTCTTCGGTTCTTGGGCATTCACTCCATGGCTCTGGGAAGGCTGTGGTCCCTGGATCTGTCCCTGGGGCGGGAGAGGAGACTCCAGAGTTCAAGGGAGGGAGAGGCGAAGATTTGGCACCGACATTGTGCCCAACACTTCCGTTGCGGGGCCGGAGGAGGGGGCCTGGAGCTGGAGGACCCCGGCTTGAAGGCTGGGCAGCAGCAGGGGGTAGTACCGGAGTGGGGGAGGGGTGTCGGGGAGGGCAGGGGTGTTTTCCGTCGGGGCTCAAGGTCGTAGATGGAGGACTTCAGGGGCCGGAGTGGGCTGGCAGCGCGGGGGCAAAGGGGTGGAGGGAGAGTGAGGGCGGGGAGACGGCGGGAAAAGGGCTCTTTGGGGCTCCAGCGCCTGGTGCCCTGCAGAGCCGCCAGTGGGAGGGCTGGAGTACCGGGTCCCACCCCCGACGGCTGTCCCTGGCTCCGTGGGGGCTGTGGGCGGGCACTCCTCCGCCCCCGACATCCTGGATGCCCACCCCTTCCCACGGGCGCACCCGGGCGCACCTGGAGAAGCCTCTGAGAGCCCCCGGCCTTGCTTCTAGCTGGGTCCCCCAGCCCCGGCTCACTGCCGCTCCCGGCACCGCGCTCGCCCCGGGGGGTGTCTGGCGCCCTGTTCCAGTCGAACCCACCTCTGGGGAGCCTCAGAGCGTCCCGGGGACCTGCTTCCTGCTCTTCCCGGCGAGCCCCCCGCCCCCGCGCCGCCGCGGAGCCACTTACCCGCCGCCTCTGCCCAGCTCCCCTCACGCCAGACAGACGGCGGGACGGACGCGCGGCCCCGCGGGCCAGCGGGGCAGGCGGCCCGGCCGAGGGCCGGGGGCGGGGACGGGGTGTCGAGGGGCGGCCCCTGCTCCGCCCGCAGCTCCCGGCGCTGTGGCTCCGACTCGCGCTCACGCTCGCACTTTTCCCCGAGCCGCGTGATGTCACGAGGAAGCAGCCAATCGTGGCGGGGCCGCGCCGCCCGCCCCGGGCCGGTCACCCGGCGGCGACGCGCGGGGGTCAGCACCCGAGGCGTCGGAGACCCCGGCGGTCCGCGCCCCTCTCGGGGCCGGCCTGCAGCTCCCCGCCCGGGCACAGAGGGCGCCGCCCACGGCCAGCGGCGCAGGGGAGCAGGGGGCGCTGCCCTCCGGGGGGTGGGGGTGTCCGCGTTGTCATGGGGACGCGGCGCCCCCTCGCGGGCTGGGGAGGGAGCTGGCAGCCGGGTCCGGCCGCTCTCCCGCCTCCGCCCTGACCATACTCCCGGGACCCTGAGCTATTTTCGCGCCTCTCCGGGACCTCAGCGCCCTGCGTGGCCCCACTCGCGGTTTGGCCGCGAGGCACAGGAGTCTGACCCCAGCAGGAGGCTATGGGTGGGTGGGGCGGGCTGCGCCGCCAGGGATCCGTCGGGGCCGAGGTCCGGGAGCTCCAGCCGCGCCGCTGCGTGCCGGCCGGGCCGCCCGCGAGGAGGGGGGCCGTCGGGGCCTGGGGAAGCGCAGGAGCGGGTGGACCGGAGGGGGTCGTCCGGGGATAGAAGAGCCCACCGCGGACCACTCGCCCGCACCCGCTCGGCTCCCTGCTTGGCGTTCCGGGCCGGGAAAGGGGCGCGCCCCCGCTCTCCCAGTCCCGGGATGGGACGCGCTTCCAGTCCAGCCGCAGCCTGGACCGTGAGTTCACCGCCGCCTGTGAGGGACAGTCGGTTGCCCAAGGTCGCCGGGGCCGGAGCCCGGGACAAGACCCCGGAGAGCGGGCAGCCAATCTCAGAGGTCGCTAGGAACCGCAAGGGCGGTAGCCTCAGGACACGGGGCCTCGCCCAGGCTGGGCCGACATTGGGGCGGCTTCAGCACCTCGGAGAGCTCCCCGCGCCCGGGCCCAGCGGCCTCTGCCGCCTGATCCGGCTCCAGCGCTTCTTCCTCCAAGAGCGCCCTTCCAGGGGGCTGCCGGGGTCGGACGCTCCCCACTGCGCCCGGGACCGAGGCCTGTAACCCCAAATTCTGATCGCAAACATTTGATTAACCTTAAGACGTCTGGTTTCTTCTCTCGGGGAAACAACTCAAGACCCTCCCCCGAGGGCCGGAGGTGGTGAGGGCGATTGCCGGGGCGGCGGTGGAGGAGAGGCAGGAGCCTCTTGGCAGAGAAGGGGAGGGAACTCGAGTAGAAGCCAGCGCTGCGGGGCTTTTGGTGTGGGGTTCTCCGCGCTGAACCCGGAAGTGGAGGTCGGGTCCCCAGAGCTCGCGAGCGCGACGGCTGGAGTTGGTCGGAATTGGGAACTTCAGGGCTGGGGTTGGTTGGCTAGAGTAGGAAGCCATCTTCTGTTGTTACATGAATGATTGGGTCTCCCAAGACCTCATAACTGGGGTAAAAGAAGCACTACTGTTCTTGCCCCACTTCACAAATAAGGAAAGTTGGTTTATAAGACCCTAAGACGGCAGTCCTGCACTTGTTCCACTGCCATATCCCTCCCAGAGCCCAGAAGAGTGTGGTACGCTTAGGAGGTGAGGGTTGTGGAGGAGGGAGGCAGATCCTTAAAACAGTCAGATGAGTAAACAAGCAAGGCCAAGGGCAGGAGGCTGCAGACACCAGACACACCTGACATGCCTCCAGCTACTGACCCCAGCTCTTCCAGAAGCTGGCAAAGTCACTTTAATTTCTCCACAATCCCTCTTATGAAGGGGCTTTTGACCTCCCTCAATCTCCCAACCCCAAGAACCCACGGTGGAACCCTGGAGAGCTGAATTGGGAACAAGGGGACATGGTGGTTTCTCTGCTCTGCTTTTGATGCCACTAGGTCAGCAGACAAGTAACATAATTTCTCTGAACCAATTTCCTCACCTCCAAAAGGGACTGTCCCTATCTTTGCCCTGGTGACGCCACAACCTTGTGATGTGTGAGGGGCCTGCAAAGGTTTCACCACCAGAGAGGCTCTGTTATTGGGCAAGGGCTAAGGAAAGGGGCTGGTGTGGGGACAGGGAGGTGATGACAAGGGCCTCCAATGGGGGGCAGGGAGGTCAGGGAGGGTGACTGGCACCATCCAGAGACAGCAGAGTCAAGGCCTGGCAGGTCCACATTTGGACCCTCTTGGCCGGGTGGTGGCTCACGCCCATAATCCCAGCACTTTGGGAGGCCGAGGCAGGCAGATCACTTAAGGTCAGGAGTTTGAGACCAGCCTGGCCAACATGGTGACACCCCATCTCTAGTAAAAATGCAAACAAAATTAGCTGTGTGTCGTAGCACACACCTGTAATCCCAGCTACTCAGGAGGTTGAGGCACGAGAATTGCTTGAACCTGGGAGGCGGATGTTGCAGTGAGCCGAGATTGTGCCACTGTACTCCAGCCTGTGCGACAGAATGAGACTGTCTCAAACAAACAAACAAACAAACAAAAAACCCAAAAAACAAATTTGGACCACTTCATCCCTAGGGGCCTTGCCATACCCTTTTCTCCAAAGCAACATAACAAGTCAGGGTTCCACTGTTTCTCCTACACCTTGTCTTCCTTCTGTAGAAATGACAGTGGCTGAGGTGTGTGCTCTGGAATCATACACTACCTGGTTCAAACCCTTTGCCAGTTGTGTGCTCTGGGGGTAACTCTCCTCAGAGAGTTTTTGTGAGGATTGAAAGAACGCACATTGACTCCTGGCACGTGGTTTACATTAAACAAATTAACAAGACCCATTATCAGACCAGACCAAGGAATTATTCCTCCTACGGGTGGTGGGGAGAGGATGTGGGGCAGTGGGCTCCTTTCTCCTTCCATCCTTCAATGCTTAGCTCAAATCCCACTTTTTTTTTTTTTTTTTTTTTTAAGAGATAGGGTCGGCGGGGCGTGGTGGCTCATGCCTGTAATCCCAGCACTGTGGGAGGCCAAGGTGGGCAGATCACCTGAGGTCGGGAGTTGGTCCAGCCTGACCAACAGAGAAACCCTGTCTCTACTAAAAATACAAAATTAGACGCGTGTGGTGGCACATGCCTGTAATCCCAGCTACTACAGAGGCTGGGGCAGGAGAATCACTTGAACCCGGGAGGTGGAGGTTGTGGTGAGCCAAGATTACGCCATTGCACTCCAGTCTGGGTAACAAGAGCGAAACTCCATCTCAAAAAAAAAAAAAATAGAGTCTCACTTTGTTGCCCAGGCTGGACTTGGACTCGTGGGCTCAAGTGGTCCTCCTGCCTCAGCCTCCAAAGTACTTAGGGACTACAGGTGTCTAAATCCCATCTCTGAAAGGAAGCCTGCCCTAACCATCTGTGTGCTCTCTGGGCTTGAATGATTCCAGAGTACAGAACTAGAAGTAACTTTGAGGTTGTGTAGTACAAGCCCTGCATCCTAACAAGGGAAAGTGAAGCCCAGAAAAGGCAAATGGCTTGCCCAAAGTCACACAGCTAAGTGATGTGTCTTTCAGTCCAGAGTCCACTGTTATACATAGTTTTCTAGAAAATGAGAGTCTTCCTAAATCTTGCCATGATTTTGTATTTCTTGCTTGCCAACTTATCTTTTGGTTTTGTCTCTGTTGGAGCAGAACCTGGAATTCTGCGTGCCCCATGGCATCAGGGACAGATTTGGGCGCACAAAACAAACAAAAACCTCAAAAGTACGTGCTACTGGCAAAAAGCCCTGGTACTGCTTGGATTTTCCATTATAGCTCTTGAAGACTTGGGGCAAATATCCTTTTCCCACTTGAGACGGAGTTGCGCTCTGTTGCCCAGGCTGGAGTGCAGTGGCACGATCTTGACTCACCACAACCTCTTCCTCCCAGGTTCAAGTGATTCTTGTGCCTCAGCCTCCCCAGTAGCTAGGATTACAGGCGCGAGCCACCACGCCCGGCTAATTTTTTTGTATTTTTAGTAGAGACGGGTTTTCACCGTGTTGGCCAGGCTGGTCTCAAACTCCTGACCTCAAGTGATCCACCCGTCTTGGCCTCCCAAAGTGCTGGGATTACAGGTGTAAGCCACCACGCCTGGCCAGCTGGAAGCTTTCAAGCAGTCAAAACCCAAGAACAGAGCAGGCCTTTTGGCCACTGTAGGGAAGACACGGTTAAGGAAGACCTTAACAGCTAGCAACTGGCACTTTGCCTGCAGATAGGACCAAGCCCCACCGCCTGCCTGGCAGGCTGGACACCTGCTGTGCATGATTTCCCAGGACTAGGGGGGATCCAGCTTTCTGGCCAGTTACATCGCTTCAGGCCTGTAGTCCTGGGTGGGAAGCTATTAGGATGAACAGCCTTCTGTCATTCCTTCCTACATACTCACCCGGCCGCTGGAAGGTGGCCCCAGTCTGTAGCAGGCCCCAGGGAAGCAGGAAGTTGTGGCGTACAGAGAAGTGGTATGAAGCAGAGGTGGCAGCCCTCACCTGACCAGTTCTGGCGAAGGGGTCAAATGGGTCCACTGCACCCCGCTAGGAGAGCACCAGAAACGGAGCCGGGGGAGCGTGGGCCTGGCCCAGTTCAATGCCCCTCACTTCCCAATCCCCACCCCTCCCCCCATCCTCCGTGGAAATAAGAGAGAGGAGCCTGGCGAGGGGCATGTCATCATTTTAATGATGTGATCTTTGGTGTTTCCCTCGTTAGCTGTAGACTATCCCCTCTCCTCCCACCACAATGTTTCTATGATGAGTTACAAACAGAAAGGAAATCACATTTTCATACTAAAAACAAAATGATCAGAGCCTTGATTTCTCCACTAGAAACTACACGTACAGTTAAGAGTCCACATGCAACACCTTAAATCACAGACTGAGACCTCACATTCTGACCTGGAGTCTCCTCCCCTTCCCCAGCCTTGGGCTAGCTTTGGCCGAGGCTCAGGTAATACTGACACCCACAGACGCTGCTCTGAGGGCCTTGGGGGGAGGAGGAGACTGGTGGACAAGCCCTGGGGGCCGGCCAGCCTACACCCCCCACTCCTGAGTGAGGACCTGCCCACTGTCCCTTGACCCCATCCTGTATCAGGCAAGCAGGCTGCCCCCTTACCCCACAGTAGTCCCCCATTAGTAAATGCCGAAGTCCCTGTCCTCAGGAATCTGGGAGCCTGGCCCGACCCGTTGGTTTCAGTGGGGTAAGACGATGAAGAGAGGCTGAAGCTCTGGAAGGCTCAGAGTTGGAGGTGGTTTCTGAGGGCCAGGCCATTCCTCCTGTTTCTGGGCTCCTGGTGGCTCTGCCCACCCAACAGGTGGACAGGGCAAAGCTGCCTCGAGGGCCTCTGTCCAGGATGATTGGCCCAGATCTGGAAGACTGTTCACTCTCTGGAGGCTCCCTGTCCAGGGCTGAGTCCCCTGAGCCCATGTTACTAGGAGAAAGTGGGGTGTCTGGCAGAGATACCCACTCGCTCCTCCATTCACATTAAGCCCACAGTGTGGCTCTCCTGGGCTCCATGTCCTCGAAGGTTCTAGTTCCCCGAGGCAGGCCTTGCCCATTTGACTGTCTCGTGCCCACTGACTGACCTCCTCTCCACCCCGACCCTCCTCCTCCTGTTCCCTGATGCAGCCAGCAGCTCTTCCGCACGTCCAGTTCCCAGTCAGCTGTGAGGTCCGGTTTCTGCTTGGCGGTTCGAGGGGAGGCACCAGTGCAATGTTTGTCTCTACCTGTTCCGTGGTTCTCCCCTAGGGCCTGCAGAGTGCCCCCTGCTGCTGCCACCATCCGGAAGGTGGTTGTTGTTGGTCAAGTCGCAGTGGAGGGTTGGTCCCTCAGCGCTGGGAAGGGAAACAGGAACAGGGACAGGGGAGGAGGAGGGTAAGGGTGGTGGGGTTGGCTCCTGCCCAGGGGTACCAGGCTGGTCCCAGGAAGCTGTCCGGGGGCTTAGGCCTCGCTCTGCCAGTTGCCCGGGCTCTGGGAGCAGTCCCCGAGAGGTGGAGGGCTGGGGTGAGGAGGTGCGGGCAGCACCAGGTTCAGTGCCCGTCTGAGAGCTGCGGTGAATGCGGTGGCTGACGATGATGTTGTTGCCGAAGCCGCCCATGGAGGCCATGGTGGTGCTCTGCTCCCGCTGCACCACGGCTGTCATGCCGCCCTCTGCCATCAGCCTCTGGATCCTGCTGAGTGCATCTTCTCCACTGGCACCATACTCTGATCCCTCACCTGGCAGGTACAAAGCAGAAGAGAGAGTGAATTGGCTGCTGGTCTGGGCCTCTGAGGCAGGTGGGCAGCCACTGGTAGCAGCTGGGGGATTCTTGGCTAAACGCAGGATAGAGAAAGACTCCCTCCATCACTGTGAAAACCAGTCCGAGTCTTGAAAGCTAGACAAATCCCCCAAAATGATCACAATCCATACTTCTGTTTTCCTGGTGGGGAAACTGAGGCCTAGAATGGCCAGTTAAGAGGCAGCACTGGCCTAGAAGGCAGCAGGTTGGCCTCAATGAGCTCTCTCAGTACCAGTGGCAGCTTGGCGTGCAAGGAGGCAGGTTCAGACAGCTGGCTTTGTCTGCCTGCTCCTTGCTGTAGAAACTCAGCAGACCTAGGGCTGGGCTGGGGTATGCCACCCTTTCTCTGGAAAGAGAGTAAGTACCCTATGGGTGTGGCCGAAAGGGAAACAGTCTGCTCTGCTTCATTACAATGCTGTCTTCCTTCAGCACAGTTCTGTATTACCTCCTCAAAGCCCCTGAGGAGGCTGAGAGCTTTTATTTTTATATTGATTGATTGATTGATGGAGTCTCACTCTGTTGCCCAGGCTGGAGTGCAGTGGTACTATCTCTGCTCACTGCAAGCTCCACCTCCTGGGTGCATGCCATTCTCCTGCCTCACCTTCCCAAGTAACTACAGGTGCCCGCCACCATGCCGGGCTAATTTTCACATTTTTAGTAGAGACAGGGTTTCACCATGTTAACCAGGATGGTCTCGATCTCCTGACCTCGTGATCCTCCTGCCTCAGCCTCCCAAAGTGTTGGGATTACAGGTGTGACCCACCGCGCTTGGCCCATTTTATTTTTTTTGAGATAGAGTCTTGCTCTGTCGCCCAGGCTGGAGTGCAGTGGTGTGATCTTGGCTCACTGCAACCTCCGCCTCCTGGGTTCAAGCAATTCTTCTGCCTCAGCCTCCCGAGTAGCTGGGATTACAGGCATGCACTGCCATACCTGGCTAAGTTTTGTATTTTTAGTAGACGGCATTTCGCC